GCTTTTGCGAATCTGTCGCTGCATAGGAAAAATTATCCCGTTGCGAGCGGAAACACCCCAGACCATATTTTTGTGGGTGGAGCCAGACTCTTGCCGTGCAGCGATGTCCGAGTGGTTAAGGAGTTGGACTTGAAATCCAATGGGCATTGCCCGCGTAGGTTCGAACCCTGCTCGCTGCGAAGCTTTTGCGAATCTGTCGCTGCATAGGAAAACCTATCCCGTTGCGAGCGGAAGCACCCCGGACCATATTTTTGTGGGTGGAGCCAGACTCTTGCCGTGCAGCGATGTCCGAGTGGTTAAGGAGTTGGACTTGAAATCCAATGGGCATTGCCCGCGTAGGTTCGAACCCTGCTCGCTGCGAAGCTTTTGCGAATCTGTCGCTGCATAGGAAAACCTATCCTGTTGCGAGCGGAAGCACCCCGGACCATATTTTTGTGGGTGGAGCCAGACTCTTGCCGTGCAGCGATGTCCGAGTGGTTAAGGAGTTGGACTTGAAATCCAATGGGCATTGCCCGCGTAGGTTCGAAATCTGCTCGCTGCGAAGCTTTTGCGAATCTGTCGCTGCATAGGAAAACCTATCCCGTTGCGAGCGGAAGCACCCCGGACCATATTTTTGTGGGTGGAGCCAGACTCTTGCCGTGCAGCGATGTCCGAGTGGTTAAGGAGTTGGACTTGAAATCCAATGGGCATTGCCCGCGCAGGTTCGAACCCTGCTCGCTGCGAAGCTTTTGCGAATCTGTCGCTGCATAGGAAAAATTATCCCGTTGCGAGCGGAAGCACCCCAGACCATATTTTTGTGGGTGGAGCCAGACTCTTGCCGTGCAGCGATGTCCGAGTGGTTAAGGAGTTGGACTTGAAATCCAATGGGCATTGCCCGCGTAGGTTCGAACCCTGCTCGCTGCGAAGCTTTTGCGAATCTGTCGCTGCATAGGAAAAATTATCCCGTTGCGAGCGGAAACACCCCAGACCATATTTTTGTGGGTGGAGCCAGACTCTTGCCGTGCAGCGATGTCCGAGTGGTTAAGGAGTTGGACTTGAAATCCAATGGGCATTGCCCGCGTAGGTTCGAACCCTGCTCGCTGCGAAGCTTTTGCGAATCTGTCGCTGCATAGGAAAACCTATCCCGTTGCGAGCGGAAGCACCCCGGACCATATTTTTGTGGGTGGAGCCAGACTCTTGCCGTGCAGCGATGTCCGAGTGGTTAAGGAGTTGGACTTGAAATCCAATGGGCATTGCCCGCGTAGGTTCGAACCCTGCTCGCTGCGAAGCTTTTGCGAATCTGTCGCTGCATAGGAAAACCTATCCTGTTGCGAGCGGAAGCACCCCGGACCATATTTTTGTGGGTGGAGCCAGACTCTTGCCGTGCAGCGATGTCCGAGTGGTTAAGGAGTTGGACTTGAAATCCAATGGGCATTGCCCGCGTAGGTTCGAACCCTGCTCGCTGCGAAGTTTTTGCGAATCTGTCGCTGCATAGGAAAACCTATCCCGTTGCGAGCGGAAGCACCCCGGACCATATTTTTGTGGGTGGAGCCAGACTCTTGCCGTGCAGCGATGTCCGAGTGGTTAAGGAGTTGGACTTGAAATCCAATGGGCATTGCCCGTAGGTTCGAACCCTGCTCGCTGCGAAGCTTTTGCGAATCTGTCGCTGCATAGGAAAAATTATCCCGTTGCGAGCGGAAGCACCCCAGACCATATTTTTGTGGGTGGAGCCAGACTCTTGCCGTGCAGCGATGTCCGAGTGGTTAAGGAGTTGGACTTGAAATCCAATGGGCATTGCCCGCGTAGGTTCGAACCCTGCTCGCTGCGAAGCTTTTGCGAATCTGTCGCTGCATAGGAAAACCTATCCCGTTGCGAGCGGAAGCACCCCGGACCATATTTTTGTGGGTGGAGCCAGACTCTTGCCGTGCAGCGATGTCCGAGTGGTTAAGGAGTTGGACTTGAAATCCAATGGGCATTGCCCGTAGGTTCGAACCCTGCTCGCTGCGAAGCTTTTGCGAATCTGTCGCTGCATAGGAAAAATTATCCCGTTGCGAGCGGAAGCACCCCGGACCATATTTTTGTGGGTGGAGCCAGACTCTTGCCGTGCAGCGATGTCCGAGTGGTTAAGGAGTTGGACTTGAAATCCAATGGGCATTGCCCGTAGGTTCGAACCCTGCTCGCTGCGAAGCTTTTGCGAATCTGTCGCTGCATAGGAAAACCTATCCCGTTGCGAGCGGAAGCACCCCGGACCATATTTTTGTGGGTGGAGCCAGACTCTTCCCGTGCAGCGATGTCCGAGTGGTTAAGGAGTTGGACTTGAAATCCAATGGGCATTGCCCGCGTAGGTTCGAACCCTGCTCGCTGCGAAGCTTTTGCGAATCTGTCGCTGCATAGGAAAACCTATCCCGTTGCGAGCGGAAGCACCCCGGACCATATTTTTGTGGGTGGAGCCAGACTCTTGCCGTGCAGCGATGTCCGAGTGGTTAAGGAGTTGGACTTGAAATCCAATGGGCATTGCCCGCGTAGGTTCGAACCCTGCTCGCTGCGAAGCTTTTGCGAATCTGTCGCTGCATAGGAAAACCTATCCCGTTGCGAGCGGAAGCACCCCGGACCATATTTTTGTGGGTGGAGCCAGACTCTTGCCGTGCAGCGATGTCCGAGTGGTTAAAGAGTTGGACTTGAAATCCAATGGGCATTGCCCGCATAGGTTCGAACCCTGCTCGCTGCGAAGCTTTTGCGAATCTGTCGCTGCATAGGAAAAATTATCCCGTTGCGAGCGGAAGCACCCCAGACCATATTTTTGTGGGTGGAGCCAGACTCTTGCCGTGCAGCGATGTCCGAGTGGTTAAGGAGTTGGACTTGAAATCCAATGGGCATTGCCCGCGTAGGTTCGAACCCTGCTCGCTGCGAAGCTTTTGCGAATCTGTCGCTGCATAGGAAAAATTATCCCGTTGCGAGCGGAAACACCCCAGACCATATTTTTGTGGGTGGAGCCAGACTCTTGCCGTGCAGCGATGTCCGAGTGGTTAAGGAGTTGGACTTGAAATCCAATGGGCATTGCCCGCGTAGGTTCGAACCCTGCTCGCTGCGAAGCTTTTGCGAATCTGTCGCTGCATAGGAAAAATTATCCCGTTGCGAGCGGAAACACCCCAGACCATATTTTTGTGGGTGGAGCCAGACACTTGCCGTGCAGCGATGTCCGAGTGGTTAAGGAGTTGGACTTGAAATCCAATGGGCATTGCCCGCGTAGGTTCGAACCCTGCTCGCTGCGAAGCTTTTGCGAATCTGTCGCTGCATAGGAAAACCTATCCCGTTGCGAGCGGAAGCACCCCGGACCATATTTTTGTGGGTGGAGCCAGACTCTTCCCGTGCAGCGATGTCCGAGTGGTTAAGGAGTTGGACTTGAAATCCAATGGGCATTGCCCGCGTAGGTTCGAACCCTGCTCGCTGCGAAGCTTTTGCGAATCTGTCGCTGCATAGGAAAACCTATCCTGTTGCGAGCGGAAGCACCCCGGACCATATTTTTGTGGGTGGAGCCAGACTCTTGCCGTGCAGCGATGTCCGAGTGGTTAAGGAGTTGGACTTGAAATCCAATGGGCATTGCCCGCGTAGGTTCGAACCCTGCTCGCTGCGAAGCTTTTGCGAATCTGTCGCTGCATAGGAAAACCTATCCCGTTGCGAGCGGAAGCACCCCGGACCATATTTTTGTGGGTGGAGCCAGACTCTTGCCGTGCAGCGATGTAGTGGTTAAGGAGTTGGACTTGAAATCCAATGGGCATTGCCCGCGTAGGTTCGAACCCTGCTCGCTGCGAAGCTTTTGCGAATCTGTCGCTGCATAGGAAAACCTATCCCGTTGCGAGCGGAAGCACCCCGGACCATATTTTTGTGGGTGGAGCCAGACTCTTGCCGTGCAGCGATGTAGTGGTTAAGGAGTTGGACTTGAAATCCAATGGGCATTGCCCGCGTAGGTTCGAACCCTGCTCGCTGCGAAGCTTTTGCGAATCTGTCGCTGCATAGGAAAAATTATCCCGTTGCGAGCGGAAACACCCCAGACCATATTTTTGTGGGTGGAGCCAGACTCTTTCCGTGCAGCGATGTCCGAGTGGTTAAGGAGTTGGACTTGAAATCCAATGGGCATTGCCCGCGTAGGTTCGAACCCTGCTCGCTGCGAAGCTTTTGCGAATCTGTCGCTGCATAGGAAAAATTATCCCGTTGCGAGCGGAAACACCCCAGACCATATTTTTGTGGGTGGAGCCAGACTCTTGCCGTGCAGCGATGTCCGAGTGGTTAAGGAGTTGGACTTGAAATCCAATGGGCATTGCCCGCGTACGTTCGAACCCTGCTCGCTGCGAAGCTTTTGCGAATCTGTCGCTGCATAGGAAAAATTATCCCGTTGCGAGCGGAAACACCCCAGACCATATTTTTGTGGGTGGAGCCAGACTCTTGCCATGCAGCGATGTCCGAGTGGTTAAGGAGTTGGACTTGAAATCCAATGGGCATTGCCCGCGTAGGTTCGAACCCTGCTCGCTGCGAAGCTTTTGCGAATCTGTCGCTGCATAGGAAAACCTATCCCGTTGCGAGCGGAAGCACCGCGGACCATATTTTTGTGGGTGGAGCCAGACTCTTGCCGTGCAGCGATGTCCGAGTGGTTAAGGAGTTGGACTTGAAATCCAATGGGCATTGCCCGCGTAGGTTCGAACCCTGCTCGCTGCGAAGCTTTTGCGAATCTGTCGCTGCATAGGAAAACCTATCCCGTTGCGAGCGGAAGCACCCCGGACCATATTTTTGTGGGTGGAGCCAGACTCTTGCCGTGCAGCGATGTCCGAGTGGTTAAGGAGTTGGTCTTGAAATCCAATGGGCATTGCCCGCGTAGGTTCAAACCCTGCTCGCTGCGGAACTTTTGCGGATCTGTCGATGCATCGATAGGCATAGCGATACGAATGAAATTAGATGAAAGGACTTATCATTAGATCTTTTTCATGGGTAGCTTGTATTTATTTCGAGGCATATAATGATCTTACCCTTGTCTTATGGTACGCCGATGTCGTCATAACCCAACACAAAAGCGATCCAGCCTTTCTTTGCTTAGTTGCTGCATCAGATACTTTTGCGCTTCGTAGTAGTGTTTCATTATATAATCTAAACATGAAAACCATGAAAATTCAGAATGTTTCGTTTCAGAAACATTTCTCATTCAAATTATTCTATTCCCTTTGTTGACGACGGCTCGAATTTGGTCGGGGATTGAATCACGCTACATGGTGAACGCTATAGTTTTGAGAAGCTATGGCCAAGTTCTCAAGAAACGATCTTATCAGCCAAAATACTCGTTTTTGATTGAAAATATCGAAATAGGCAGGAGATCGTCCGCTTGAAGAAACTTATGAAGGAGCCTAGTAGAAGGAGGACTAGAGGAGAGTGTCGAAGGTGTGTCTCTACGCCTGAGGAACCATGCCGAAGATTTCAGAGGGTTGGAGGGGAGGGGAAATCAGGGCACGGCACAGGTGGCTTAGCAAGCAAGCTGGATATCGTTTTTGGGGAAAAAGCAAAGGGGATATCGTTTTTGCGGAAGAGCATAACGTTGTCTTTCGATCTGCGGCCGGCACACGCCGGCATGCCGCCAGTAAATAAACAAAAGGTTTGTTTACTGCGAAGTGAAGGTGAAACAACACC